TGTATTTTCTGAGATTTTATTTTGAAATTACGTTTATAAATAATATTTCCTATAAAATTTTATTTCAGTCGTGTTCAAAACATTGATTATAAAAGGAATGTTGAGGCTGATAGGATTGAAGGCCACTGTCTAATATTCATCACTGAGCTTGAATGAGCTGGGTGTGTGTGGATGTGTGTGTGCGTCTGAGTTTCTATGTCACACACACTTTCTTGGCCAAGTTTTTGTATTATGATTGTAATACTTTCATAAAACGAGTTGGTTAGCTTTCCAGATTTTTTTTTTTAATGAAGTAGTCTCTACAGTATGTGAATTTGCTGTTCAAAAACTTATCCACAAAAGTCTCACCCCCAATATCCATTTTGATGCTACTCCTTGAACATTTTTTCTTTTTTGAGTACCGGATAATTCAGATTTTCTACTTAAAAGAATAATTTATAACAATTTAGTTTCCAAATTAATTTATAATTGTGTACATTATTCTCTTATAATTCTTATTCCCTAGATCCAGTGTGATATATCCTTGTTCTATTTTCTGTATCCTTTTTTTCCCTTTTTCTTGACTAATTGTAGAGGATTGAATGTGGCGCCAGTCATTTATCTATTTGTCCTCAGTCAGATCCTTTCTGGGTCCTTCCCTGCTGTTTTGTGTTGCAGAGTGCTGACTCCTGCCCACTACATTTCCCAGCCTCCCTTGCCAACGAGCTCCAGGTAGGTTTGGCCAATGGCACTGGGAGGACATTGGAGGGTGGAAGGAGAGGTCGAGGGATTTCTCCTCCTCTGTCTGTACTTGCTGCAGTCTTCAGCTGTCTCCTCTGCAGTGCCAGCACCTGCTGGGCACCACCGTCCGCCCCGTGGTCCCAGCTCTAGCCAGGCAGGCAGGACAACTGTGCTCACAGTTCCCACCAGGAGGCCTCACCCACCCACCAGTTCCTTCTGTTCCTTGTGGCAACTTCCTGAAGTTGCTCGTCTCTTAGTGCCTCACCTTCTTCCCTGGCTTCCTCTTTCTGAGAACTTGTAACTAAATTTCCTCAACTGAATTACATGTAAGGCTTGTCTTCCTGACCAGACCATGACTGACGGATACATGTTTATGAATATTTTTCAGCAAAGCAGCTTTTAAATCCATGCATCAATTTTACTGTTTTCTGAACTACTCATTTCTGCTTTTACTTAGTGAAATATTATAGTTTAGTCAGTGGCATGCTGGTAATCCAGCTCTCTGGGGGAAAAAAAGCCCTGTTTGTAGATTTGCCAACTTCTGAGGCGTAAGTGAAACAGAGCCCCGGTAGGGACTTCTCTTTCCTCCCATGCTCATTTACACAGCTTCCATATGCTTAAGGGTTATGAGTCAGAGCTGAGTCTCCCTCCTGTCCTCCCGCTTTCCTAAGTGACCTTTTTGAACAAAGGCTTTCCAAAGAAAGGCCAGGCTGGTTATTAACCTACATTTTTTTTTTTTTTGGCTGTTGGCCATTACAGGGAACCGAACCATCAGTGTTACAAGGCTTCGCTCTAAGCAGCTGAGGTAACTGGCCGGCCTACGTATACTCTTGCTTAGAGAAGATTGTGTTAGGCATGCACGTTAGTCAAGGTTCTGAGTCAGCTACCTAAAACCTCCAGTAAGGCTCGGCTAAGGTTATTGTCTTTGAGTTCCCCCTGCCCCAAGAAGTAAGGACTCCAGCCCTGAAGTGATATCAGGGATCTGAGGCTCCCCAGATCACCGGCCACTGACCCCCTGAACCCATGGGAGCCTGACGTCTGACTCAAGCCATGTGCTTCCTGCTCTCCCCAACCACTTCCTCGCACATACCTGCATTCCTTTTTTTCTCTTTAAAAACCTTAAACTTAAGGACAGGCAGGGTGACATTGCTCCTCTGCTCGTTCTCCCAGCTGTAATAAATCCTTCCCAGCTCTAATTTTTGTCTCTCTGACTCTTGGCATAACAAGCAACTGAACTCAATTAGATCTTTTGGGCTTGGTTACATAAATATTCCCAACATGGCTGATTTCAAGCTACCAATGGGACATGTCTGAACACAGAGCTGGAAGAGATCTACAGAAGAAAATTCCAGAAAATGGTAAGAATGATCACATATTGAAATTAAAATTTTTAAATTACACATCTCCAAAAGGTAACATTCTATCAACTTAACTGTTAATTAATCAAGAAATTCACTTTATGGAGGTCCAGTCAAGATGGCAGAATAGATGGTCCCCAGCATCACTCTCTCCCACAAAGCAACCAATTTACAACTATTAAAAAGCAACGTCAGCCAAGCTGGGGCTGCTGGAGTTCAGGGGAAGAGGAGGAGAGACCCACAGAGTGCGCGAAGACAGGAGAAGCCACAATGAGAGAAAGAAAGGATCGCTCCCACCACTTCAAATCCCGGCCCCTTCAAGGCAGGAGCTGGTGACACACAGAGCAAGAACTGGCAAAAGCCACAGTTGTGCCCTTCAGATGAAGTTGCTTGGAGGTGGCAGGGGAGAGGAGAGCCTTGGTGGCCCCCAGGCCAGCAAGACAACTAACAGTGTTCCCGTGGACCTACATAGAGGCAAGGGGCCACAGACAACAGAAAAAAGGAGCCACTCAGAGGCCGTGAGTCATCGCATGGGACCAGCACACGGCCTTCCCCATTGGCAGTGTTTGGAGTGCAGCAGTGGGGGAGACGGGCCCATAGGGGGAACAGTGGGGCACAGCATGGACAGCTGATCTGGACCCCAATCAGTGCAGGACAACTCAGTGGCGACTGGTCAGGAATACAGAACTGCAGGGGGTGCAGCTTGCTGAAAAGTCTCAAGCCCAGAACAGAGGTTCCACACGACCCAGGTGTACCAGACCCTACAAGACCTGGAAGTACATACAAGGTCAACAGTTAAAACCTGAGCTCCAGGGGCCGGCCCGTGGCTCACTCGGGAGAGTGCGGTGCTGATAACACCAAGGCCACGGGTTCGGATCCCATATAGGGATGGCTGGTTTGCTCACTGGCTGAGCGTGGTGCTGACAACACCAAGTCAAGGGTTAAGATCCCCTTACCGGTCATCTTTTGAAAAAAAAAAACCTGAGCTCCATGAAAAGCTTTCCCCAGAGAATTAGCAGCAAAGCAGCAATTTATCTCAACTACAGGGCTCAAGTGCTTGTCCCCCCATTTTAGAAGTAAGCAAAGGATAACAAATTAGTTCCAGTGCAGAATTTAAGTGGTAGGAACAGCGAATAATCCAATACAGAAATGAAAGAAAAAATAAAATACCTACAGACCAGGGACAAAGTTTGATATTAACTAGTAAAGGCCTCATGTCACCAAAGAACACCTATAAAACCTAAAAGGACTGGAAGCCCCCTGGGCTCCCAAGCCAGGGTAGAGGGAGGGCCAGGGGCTTCAGCCATGCCCCCAACATCTGCAACCAGCCCAGACATGACCATCAAGCCACCACAAGAAGTGCCCTTGGCTACCAAGCTGGGGAAGTGGGGGACTGAGGGCTTCGGTCATGTCACTCTGACATCTGCAACCACCCCAGCGACAACCACTGAACCACTGCTGGAAGTCCCCTGGTCTCCCCTGCAGGAATGCAGGGGGTGCCTCAGGCCTCAACCATGACTCCCTCCTTCCTCCTTCTCCCACCCTATTTCCTTCCCCCTTCCCCGCTCCGTATCTCCCCCAACTGTTCTGCAACATCTTAGAATGAAAAAAAAAAAAAAAGAAATTCACTTCATTTTGAGATTTGTTAGGTTTTATTCACTTCAAAATAATTCTCAAGTGCTACTATGGACTGAACCATGTCCCCCCAAAATTCATGTTGAAGCCTCAACCCCCAGTGTAACTGCGTTCGAAGATAGGGCCTTTGGAGGTAATTAAAGTTAAGTGAGGGCAAAAGGGTTGGCCCCTAAGCCAACAGGATTGGTGGACTTATAAGAAGAGGAAGAGAGATCTCTCCTGCTCTCCCTCCACCAGCGAGCACAAAGACAAGGTCACATGAGCACACAGCAAGATGGTGGCAGCCTACAAGCCAAGAGAAGAGGCCCTACGATGAAACGTACCTTGCCAGCACCTTTACTGTGGACTTCCCAGCCCCCAGAACTGTGAGCAGTAAATTTCTGTTGTTTAAGCAATCCAGTCTGTGGTATTTTGTCACAGCAGCCTGAGCTGAGGAATACATCAAGTATGCCCAATTGATAGCCAAAAACTCAGAGCCCACCCATAATGGTTACAGAATTTCTGTTTGGGGTGATGAAAAAGTTTTAGAAATATATAATGGCGATGGTTGTGCAACGCTGAATTTAATAATGAAGTAATGCCACTGAATTGTATATTTAAAAATGGTTAATATGGTAATTTTGTCATATATTTTACTACAAAATTTTTTTTTTTGCCTTTTTTTTTTTACTGACCAGTAACGGGATCGCAACTCTTGGTGTCGCACCCGTACCGGGGACTGGCAACGGAATAGCAACCCTCGGTGTTGCGCCCGTACCGTGCTCAGCCAGTGAGCGGGAACCGGTCTCCACATGGGATCCGAACCCTCGGCGGGAGCGCCACCGCACTCCCAAGCGGCGCACTCTCCAGTGCGCCACCGGGCCGGCCCTTACTACAAATTTTAAAAATTAATAATGTAATATACCAAAAACCATTGAATTGTATACTTTAAATGAGTGAATTATATGGTATGTGACTTATATCTCAATAGAGCTATTTTAAAATCAAAGCCCAAATTTTGACTTGTCATCAAAAATTTCAAAAGCAAAATTACTGAAAATCCTTCAATACTACAAATTATAAAGAAATTGTATATATATGGGCCCTCAAAAAGAAATGTCTGTGGGGCTACCAAAAAGAAATGTCCCTTGGGGGGACAGGAGTGGGAAAGCACCACCCTGGTGAAGGCCGTGTTCCATTGAGAGCCACCCGAGAGGACAGCCCAGCCTCTGCCTGAACTCCCAGTGCCGCAGGTGTTTAAATATATGAAGTCCCAACCTCCTACGTTAAGAGAGAAACAAACTAAAGTTACAAGTAATGATTTTTCATTTATCAGACGGGCAAAGGTCACAAAGCCACTAAACAGACTTTGTCAGTGAGGACGGAAACAGACCCATCATTGCTGGTGGGGGCACAAAATGGCAAAATCTCTATGGAGGGCACTATGGCAGTATTCATAAAACCTAAACATGCATATATTCTCTGCCTCAGCAATTCTAGTTTTAGAAATTTATCCTAAAGACATATTGCTCACAGGTACAAAAGCTGTTCATCACACTATCTGTAACAGCAAAAGATTAGAAAATTTTAATAGTCATTTAACGGTGCATTGGATACATTAACTCAACAATGGTACATCCCACAGCTGGACGAAGAACCATGCGGCTCCTCTGCCCTTCTGTGCCATGTATCGCGTAAGCTCTCTTAGCTCTTCAAAGCAATTATGTTTTTTTTTTTTTAAAGATGACCGGTAAAGGGATCTTAACCCTTGACTTGGTGTTGTCAGCACCACGCTCTCCCGAGTGTGCTAACCGGCCATAAAGCAATTATGTTTTAACATTGGGTAATTCAGTAGGCAGAACCAGCATAACCTTGTTTTAATTGCTATTCCTTAATTGCTACTGGGCTTGACATTTTTTTCATATTTATTGGCCCTTATACTTTTTTTTATTCTGTAAAAAAGTTCACAGAACATGTTTACATTCATTAGCTCTTGATTCTATGATACTGTGAAGACGACCAGGGACAAATCGCTGCTGTTTTAACTCTGGGGGAAGTCCCAGGTTGGGAACAAGGACTCAGTTGAGTCCTATGTCAGTGTCCTTGCTATTACAACAGCTCCTCCTCCTAGAGACCTGGGCAGAAAGACTCTCGTGTCAGCAGGAGACACGAAGGTCCACCCAGTCCCACACATGCAGAGAGGCGTCACTTGCTGCCGATAACAAAGTCCTTGGTTTGGAGGGGTGCCAGGTGTGGGTGGTGACCAGTGGAGAAGTGTCCGTCTCGTTTCCGTCTAGGAAGATGTGACCTCTGTGAGTAAAGAGAGGTTCTACTTGGCTCCCTATTCCATCCCAAGACGTGACATCATAGACCTGGACTGTCCCATCAAAACCTGAGGAAGAACACAGAAAAGAGACAATTAACATTAAATCCCCACAATAATTTTTATAACTTGCTCTATGGTACCACAATGGGCTACAGGTTGAAGAACCGAACATTAACATGATACCTAAAGGCCCTCAGAGTTGGCAGCTGATGACTCCCCGGGGCACACAGTGATGAGCATCTGCTATATACCTATTATGTGCCGGGCATTATCTCTTTTAATCCTCACAACTGTATGCAGCAGGTACTATTATTTTCCCCAGGAAACTGAGGCTTAAAAGACTTTTTCAAAAAGTCCTCTAGGTCCCTCTCAGCAGATGGCTTTGTCTGCTACTTGATGGGGAAAACAGAAGGCTTTAGAGAGGAACAGCCTCATGTGCTCCCACAGTCTGGTGACATCCACACTCGTCCTCACCTGCTGTCCTCCTGTTCCTAGAGAACCAATCCCTGTACTCAAGCTTGGTTCTCCTCTTCTGCTCTTTCTGGCTCCCGGCACTTACAATCACCCTTCCATGTCCTTTCGTCTATTCTTTCAGCCCCTCCCCCTCTCAATGGATCTTTCCCACTGGCTTTAGATACCCTCATTAAATATCACCACGCAACTAGATACAGCAAGACCAGACCCAGGAGCCTAAAGACCCAGCTGGCTGGCTATAATCTGAATAGCAAGTAGGCCGAGAAGCACCCTGGAGATGCTGTCACTTCTTCCTGGTACAGCCCCATGGCCATTCGAGCATCTTACTATCTGTAGGCCCCTTGCCTGACCTGAGACCTGAATTCCTATTAGGCTAGGAAAGGCCTGCTGCCAATGTGTGGAAGTTTAGTAGCCAGGGTGGAGAACAGCCTGACCTGAAGAACTGAGAGAGTTAATTTGGAACCTTTCTGTGGGTAACTTTAATTTGTTCAGCCAGATTTATTAGGAGGTGGCCAGGCTCCTTCCTGACACCATATAGTCCCCTGGAAGAGAGAGATCAAACAACACACACAAAATCCTGCTCAGCATTACCTGAAATGGCTAAGCAGTTGTCCAGGCCTGGGGCCCAAGTCACTCGCAGCAGCTCTGGGTCGGGGCTAGGTGTGGACACTGGGCACTGGACTGAGCTCACAGGATGGCAAAGATTCCGGGAGTCAAGGAGACGGAGCTGCCCACCTGAGCCAAGGCAGGCAATGTTGGGCCCAGGGCTCTGGCCCCTGACTCCAATTTCTGCATACCATCTCTCTCCACCAGACGCAGGGCTGCGGCTGAGATTCTCTGACGGTGCCCACTTTTGGCGGATGTCAACAAGTCCCAGCCGGCCCGAGGTGCAGCAGAAGGCAAAGGTGTCTGCATCCAGGACCTGCAGGCTACTCAGCTCCTCACTGTCACTGATGTCTGGAAAACAAGAGCAAAGGAGAAAAGCTGCTGGAGTCAGATGGGTCTGGCAATTTGGCAGGGCTGGCTGGGCACAAGTTCCTCCCACAGTCCTGTTTTCCCTTCCCACCCGCCATAGTCTGCTCGGCAGGGGTGCCAGTCCCCGGGATTGCCTCTCCTAACCCCAGAATGAGAGCCCCCTGAGGCCAGGGCTGGCCTGTTATTCACCGTGTTTCCCCAGCATCTGGCACAGAGTGTGGAACTAAGTTTCGAACGTGGCTGAGTTGAGCTGGGAGGCAGACGTTGGTTGGAGGAGCCAGCAAGGGGGGACTGCTGCACTACCTGAGGTGTATGTGGTCTTCTGGGATTCCAGATCCACAATCTTCAGACTGCTGAGCCTCACCCCATGGAGGACTCCAGGTGCCATTGAGGAGGAGATGGCTACCCTGGGCCAGAGGCTCCCGTCTTTCTCATGCACAGCAATGGTGCTGACAGCTTTAATGACATCTGGGAAAAAGGGGAAAAGGCTAAAATCCAGAATGTTACTGAAGGTCTGAAACATTACATGGTGAAGGCCAGCCAGCATCTTTCCCCGCACACTTACAAGGGCAAGGAAGACAGGGAGCTGACAGTTGGCGAGAGAGGATGTTGAGACATAAACATTCTAGGTTATGTTTACATTTTGGAAACTGTCAGAAGCACTTTAATTTCTTTATAACTTGTCTTACGAACTGTTTTTTGCAAATGGGAGATAATGAATCATAGCAGCCATCTCAAAACCCCTGAAGCAGTTCTGGCTTTTTATAGTTCTGTGGAGAATGAATAGAGAAAAGGAAACGGAATGAACACGAACACGCTGCTGACGTTGTTTACACCTTTAGCGAAAAATAACAGGTGCGGAGTTCATGAACTAACATCATCTCTTCAAAAACATGTTCCATGATCTCAAGCAATTTGCTAAAGCCTAGTAAGTGAAGGTTACATTGCAGATGTTGTTGTTAAAATGTAAAGTGGATAAGAAAGTCCACATGTTTTTTACACTGAATGGAACAAAGACAGACTAGGCCTTAAGTAGAGTCAAATTTTAGTTGTTTTTTTTTTTTTTTAAAGATGACCGGTAAGGGGATCTTAACCCTTCACTGGGTGTTCTCAGCACCAGCTCCCCCAGTGAGCCACGGGCCGGTCCTTATTTTAGTTTTATTTGTTTGTCTCATCCTGCTTGGCTAAGCAGGCAGGTTCTCGTCTGTATTTTACATTTGAGCTTCTCTTGACAGATGCCATTTATAACAGTTCAGAACAAGTCATTTGCTGCACAAACTACTTAAAGGGAAATTCATATTTTCCATTTTATATTTTCTTGCTCCAAGAGGAGGCTCATTACTTGGTTTCCACATTCTCTGAAGAAACTGGGGGTCTATGTATATTCTCAATTCTAAAGGGTAGGGAAGAGTCAGAAAGAGGAAAGACACTCATGGCTCATCAAGCCAGTGTGTGTCAGCCAGTCCCCTCCAGAGAGCTCACACACAAGGAGTGCATACAGGGACATGTGGGGGCTAGGCTAGCATGCAGGGGACCCTTGGGCACTGCTCCCAAAGCCCACGGGACTTTCAGTGCATGTAAGCCAGACTTGCTGAACTTAATTGCTCCCACCACAGGAGCTGTGGAGGTTCGGAGTAGACACCCCAGTTGACACTCAGGACCAAAGTTTATCTCTAGGGAGTGCCAACGAGGCTGCAATCTAAGCCCGTCCCAGTGAAGGATGCTCTCTTGGGCCACCCTTAAGTGTCTCCTTCTTCTCTTTCCACAGATACTGGGCAGCCTGGAACAGATTCTCCCGGGACCTGCTGCTCTAAGCCAGTGGATGAACCATCAGATGTGATTTGTCCCCTGATGTGAGGATGGAGAAGACCTATTTCAAAGATTCAGTGGAAAACAAAGGCTTGAAGACCTTCTGGCTGGAGAATTGCTCTATAACTACAGTAGGAAAGAAATCAGTTCTTCTCTGCCTTCTCTGGTCAGTGATACAATGCCCTCCCCTGGGAAATCCACACCAAATCTACCACACCAGCCCCAAACTGAAAAGACAAACTACCACAAAAGCAAAAAACGACACAGCGAGGCACCTCCAAGAAGGTGGAAATAAAAGAAAGAAGGTTGTTTCTGAAAATTAAACCAACACAGAATGGGTCAGAGCAGAGACAGGCAAAGGCAACATGTGGAGTCAGCACGGCTCCCAGACCTGCAATACTGAGCAAAGGTAGCAACACGTCTAAAGGAAAGTGGTGTCGGGGAGAGGCAAAGAAAATGCTGGGGTCTGTCCAGGACAGAGGGAGCCACGCCAAGACTGAATACTGAAGTTCCGAGTAGAAGCAGCAAGTGACACTCAGCTGAGATCCGCAGACACTGTATTCATCCAACTCAGAGGTTTCTACAGTCCCAGAACTAAGAGAAGGGGACTCAGGCCTGGCCCCAGGGGCCTGGGCAGCAATGCTTTCACAAGTCTCACCCTGCCTGCCTAAGATAGCTTATGAAAAAGCAACTTGGAACCCCCTGAGCTGATTCCTCTTGTTTCGGTTATGTTTATCAAAGCAAGGCAATCATAAGGACCTGGAATCTTCTGCTTTTAGTTATACTTATTTTTTTCATTATAAACTAATAAAATTGCATTCCAGTTTATTTAGGAGTATTGTGAGTCTAGTGAGTATGTCTGCCTCCATAAACAGATTAGATTTGTCCTGGATATGCTGACAAAAATCAGGTTTCTGAGACCTCAAGGCTATGGGTCAATACTTGGACCTTGGAAAATTCACCAAAATAACATTGTGCTTTTAGGCTTCTAGGAAGATAGCTGGCCAGTCGTCCCTCAGCTCTGGGATACTTTGCACGAACATCTAGAGGAAGATGACTCTATCTGACTCTTAATACCGATATGAGTGTCAGCGCAAGCTCCGCTAGGGCTGGGGGCAGGTTCCATGCAACACCTTGTACCCACGCACTGTCAGGACAAAAGCACCTCCAAATGGTTGGTAAGACTCCTCTCCCTCTCATCTTTATTTATTTATTTTTTGTTTTTTCCCTTTTTGTCTTTTTTCGTGTCCGGCAACGGATCACAACCCTCAGTGTCGCGCCCGTACCGGACCGGGGACCGGCTACGGGATCGCAACCCTCGGTGTTGCTCCCGCGCCTCGCTCAGCCAGTGAGCGGGAACCGGTCTGTATGTGGGATCCGAACCCTCGGCGGGAGCGCCACCACACTCCTAAGCGGCGCACTGTAGCAGTGCGCCACCGGGCCGGCCCCCTCCCTCTCATCTTTAAACCACTGCTGTCCCACTACAAGTTACCGGCATAAGGACAGACATATAGATCAGTGGAACAGAACTGAGAGTCCGGAAATAAATTCTTATATTTATGGTCAACTGATTTTCAACAAAGGGCCAAAGTAAATCAATGGAGAATGAACAGGCTTTTCAATAAAAAGTGCTGGAACATGCAAAAAAGATTAATTTAGACTCTTACCTCAGACCATATATAAAATTTAACTCAAAATGGATCAGACTCAAATGTTGGAGTTAAAACAAAACCTTTGAGAAAAAAAAAAAAAAACATAGGAGAAACATCTATGAGTTAGGTAAAAATTTCTTACATATGACACCAAAAGCACAGTTCCTAAGAGGAAAAATCGATAAACTAGACCTCATTAAAATGTAAAACTTTTGGGCCGGCCCCATGGCGCACTCGGGAGAGTGCGGCGCTGGGAGCACAGTGACACTCCCACCGCGGGTTCGGATCCTATATAGGAATGGCCAGTGCGCTCACGGGCTGAGCGCGGTGCGGGGGACACCACACCAAGGTTTGCGATCCCCTTACCGGTCACAAAAAAAAAAAAAAATTAAAACTTTTTTTTTTTGGCTGACCACAGGAATTGAACCCTGAATCTTGTTGTTAACAGCACCATACTCTAACCAACTGAGCTAACTGGCCAGCTTTAAATTTCAAACTTTCATGCTTCAAAGGACACTATTAAGAAAGTGAAAAGACAAGCCACAGACTGGGAGAAAACATTAGCAAAACACACATCTAATAAAGAACTTGTATCCAGAGCGGACAAGGAACTTTTACAACTCAACAAAGACTAACAACCCAATCAAAAAACGGACAAGAGATCTTAATTGGCATTTCACCAAATATACAAAGCACATGAAAAGATGCTCCACATTATTGCGTTTTAGGGAAAGGCAAATGAAAGCCACAATGATACACAATTTCACACTCTTTAGAATGGCTTTAATAAAAAAGACAGACAATAACAAATGTTGATGAGGACACAGAAAAATGGGAACCCTTATACATTGCTGGTGGGAATTTCAATGAAGCCATTTTGGAAAGTTTGAAAATTTTCTAAAATATCAAACATAAATTTACCATGCAAACTAGCAATTCCATTCCTAGGTGTCTCCCCAAGAGAAATAAAAACATATGTCCACCCAAAGACTTGTATGTTAATGTTCTTGGCAGCATTATTCATAATAGCCAAAAACTGGATCCGTCACCTGGTGAATGGACAGACGACATGTGGTACATCCACACAACGGAATACTACTCTGTCATAAAAAGGGACAAGCTATAGGTACATGCTGCGACATGGGCAAACTCAAAAGCATTATGCTAAGTGCAAGAAGCCAGACACAAACACCACGTATTGTATGACTCCACTGATATGAGATGTCCAGAAAAGGCAAATCTATTACAGAGACAGAAAGATTAGGGGTTGCCTGGGGCAGGTGTGGGAATGGAGATTAACAGTAAATGGCATAATTGATCTTAGGGAGATGAAAATGTTCTAAAACTGATTTATTGTGATGCCTGCACAATTGTTACATTGACTAAAAAATCACTGAATTGTACACTTAAAATGATATAGTAAGTAAAACATATTTCAATAAAATTAAAAACAAATAAACCACCACAAGTACAAGTAACTGCTACAAACAACTGGAAGCTATAGCACAGTACGAGTGACATGGAAAACAACGAGGAAAGCCCACAAGGTCAGTGACCCCAGAAAGCAAACGAGCACAAGAACTGCCTTTCTGCAGCAGTGAAGTTTGGGGAGGTGCCAGCAGCCACTGGGCAACTTCTGGGAGGCTTCCAAATGAGGTGGTGTAGGGACCAGGGGCGGAGCGCTGCACAACTAAAGGGGCAGCTCCAAGATGAGCTGCCTGTGCCTCTGAGGCACTCGGCCATGCTGGCAAGCAGTGCTGTCACTGAGGGACGGATGGAAGAGGCTGCATTAGGACACAGAGATGCATGCTGTGGTACCTGCCTTCCTGATCCTCAAACCACAGCTGGAGGGAATGCTATTCCCCCTGAGGGAACGTTCCTCCACTCACAGAATGGACAGGATTAGCATTTCCTGCTCCTCTCCCCATTCCCCTGATGGGAAGCAGAGTGACTTCTCTGAGTGGGAGACTGGCCACCCTGGCCTCATGCTCACTCACTGTTTTCCTTGCCTGCGAAGTGACCTCTTTGCTGCTGCCACTTTCTCCTCCTCCAAGAGGTGAGCTCGCCTGACCAGCCCTAGCTCTGCCCTTGCCTCTGCTCCTGCCCAGGGGAGAGGCCTGTAGTTCTCTGGGTGCTCCACCTACGACTCGGTTGGTAAACTCAATTCCTGGAGTAACTTACAAGAAGCTCCGGGTGGGGCTTGCATGCCATGTTGTGGTTGCTAATTCATCTTTCCTGCATTAAAGTAGATACTGCATTTTAATTCCCACCTGCCTCTGAGTCTATTTCTCATCTCGCTCAGATTAGGGGACAGGGGTATGTGAGTCACACACTTTCCTAGAACCCCAACCCCTACCAAGTCAAATTCACTCACCGCTGTCCTCTGCAACCTGCCATACCTGCAGGTAACAACCTGGAAGGCCACTGGTCACCAGCAATCTATTCAGGATAAATACAAAATCTTAGTCCAGACAGTGGGACACTCACCCACATACCCCACTTCCCCTCACCAGCCCACTCAGCTTGGGATCCCTCCACTTCTCATATCAGGAAATCTTACTGCAGGATCATCAAGACCAGCCCCCTCATTTAATAGATAAGGAGCAGGCTCACTCTGCTTTAGGGACAGGTCTACAGCTCATGGAGAGTCATGGGATTGAGCCCTGACTTCCAGTGTCATGATGGTCACCTAGGGAGGACACAGTGTGGAGCCTGAACACACATCCCTGATCCAGAGACTCTCAGCCTCTCCCAACTGAGCTATTATTGCCCAACTACCCACCATTAGCTCTCTCAGAAATTAAGAGCAACCTTCTATCCTGTGTCTGTTCCCTGTACCAACTCTAGTGACCTGTTGGTTACATTAGTCAAAAGGGCTGTGGGGCTGACCTCTGAGGTGAAGAGGAAAGAAAAAAGAAAAAGGGCTATGGGGGACTGGGAAGCCACAGCAAAAATTTCTTTGTATTCTAGGGTGGGTGGGTGGGTTGGTGTGTGTGTGTGTGTGTGTGCAATTACCATGGGGTTTTGAAGAGGTGATTAGATTCTTAGGACCATGCCTTTTGAATGGATTAAAAATGGTGGTCATGGGCATGGTTCTGAGGGCTTTAAAAGGACAGTGCATGAGGAGCTGCTCTCTCTGTTTCACCATTTTCTGCCATGTAAAACCCCTGGATCACTGTTGTCACCACCAAAACCCTCACCAGACGTGTTCCCTGGACTCTGGACTTCCCACCCTCTGAAACTGTAAGCAATAAATTTATTTTTTTTAAATAAATTACTCAGTTCCTTGTATTTTGTTATAAGCAACAAAAACAGACTAAGGCACCATCCCAAGACTAACCCCAGCCTCACAACCTTACAAGCACCTTCCCTAACTCCCTCTTTTGAGACGTTCCTGAGATTCTGTTGAGGGCTGTTCTTGCTTGCTCTGCACACTGGATAATCCCAGCTTGGAAAGATCACCAGTCTCCCTGGTGGTGGGCGCTTCAACAGGAGGCCACGGCGGGAACCAGGAGGGCGGGAAGTGAGGTAAGACAATACTCTCCACTGCTCTTCCTGTGTCAGGACTGGTTCTGGCAGGAGCCATGCCTCACCCCAAGTGTAGCTTCTGCTTGGTGGCCCCACCTTCATGAGTGCCAATAACACACCTTCCTCCATTTGCCCTTCAAACTGGGGGGTGGTAATAGCTTTGGCCATTGCTAGCCTCTGGGTGCCTCGCTGTTCCTCATTTGTTCCCTTAACTTTTCCATTTTCTACACAAAATCCCTTCATTAAAGAGTTTGTGTGTGTGTGTGTGTGTGTGTGTGTGTGCGCGCGCGCGCATGCGCACTCACACATGCCCATGTGCTGGGGTGGGGGGAATCAAGAAGCAGGATACCCCTGAGCATTTCCAGCCATCCCATCCTGAATGGAAGGTCTGGGTCGCAGAACTGACCATACCTGGTATCTGGCACATGCTTTAAGTCAAAGACAGACTGGTCTGAAAATCCTCCATGGTGTACTTTGAAATCTCTTTCTGGGAATAAACCCTAAAATACAAAGGGGTGGCCAATCAGATAAAGCCTGCTTGTCAAAGGAATACTTCAGAAAAGCTCCAGATAAGAAGTCAGATCCTGGCCTGGCAGGAGGCCACGGGAGCCGCTCAGCTGGCGACAGAGGCTTCTCCCTACGATGTGCTGCTATTTGTAAATGCTGGTCTCAGCTGCCTACATATTGAGCTTCCTTTCTTCCCTGCATATCCAAAACCCTTCTAGCCTTTCACTAGCCCCTTGCACTAAAGCATATGCATTATATTCCAGGCCTTCTTAGAGGAGTCACAGAGACTTAACAGCTTCATAAAGAAAACAGGGGGCCGGCCCGGTGGCGCACTGCTACAGTGCGCCGCTTGAGAGCGCAGCGGCGCTCCCGCCGAGGGTTCGGATCCCACATACAGACCGGTTCCCGCTCACTGGCTGAGCGAGGCGCGGGAGCAACACCGAGGGTTGCAATCCCGTTGCCGGTCCCCGGTCCGGTACGGGGGCAACACTGAGGGTTGCGATCCGTTGCCGGACACGGAAAAAGACAAAAGACAAAAAAAAAAAATAAAGAAAGAAAGAAATAAAATAAAGAAAACAGGGATTATCAGCCAACTAGCACATCCCCATTTCTCACCCTGTTCTCCCACTGGAAGACAATTGGGTTCTTCTAGCAATAAAAGTAACAACTACCACTTATCAAGTGTTCACTGTATCAGGCACTGTGTTTAGGGCTTTTATCACATTTAATTCTTACAATGACCCTGCTATAGATTGGATGCCCCCCCCCCACACTTTATTGAAGTTTAATCCCCACTCTTAACTGTTGAGGGTGACAAATCCTATTATGGTAACTGAAAGGTGGGGCCTTGAAGAGGTGATTAGATTGTAGGACCAGGCCATAGTGAATGGATTAATAATGATAGTCAGGGGTGTGGTTCTGAGGGCTTTAAAAGGAGAGCATGTGAGAGTCTCTCTGTGCTCTGCCATTTTCTGCCATGCGAGACCCCTGCATTGCTGTAAAACCATCACCAAAGACCCGCACCAGATGTGTTACCCTGGTCTTTGGACTTCCCAGCCTCCGAAACTATAAGCAATAAATTTCATTTTCTTACAAATTACCCAATTCTGTGTATTTAGATATAAGCAGCAGAAGCAGACTAATACGCACTCTATGATGTAATTATTCCTATTCTACAAATGACAAAACTAAGGCACAGGGAGCTTAAGCAACTTTTCTAAGGTCATACGGGTATTAAGTTGTGAATCTGAACCCAAGTCTGTTTAACCAAAGCCCACGATCTGAGCCACTAGACTCTACTACCTCCATGTAAGGAACCAGAGGCAGGGGAAAAGGAAAAGAGGAAAACCCAGTGGTGAAGGGGGAGTCATATCAGGTCTCTCATCAAGGCTCAATCTGGGTGAGTCCTTGGCTTAAGCGTGAATGGTGGGGATGAGGGAAATCAGGAGTACTAGGTAGGTGATTTCCCCCTAGAACAACAAAAGCCAGGCCACCCTATAGCTTCCATAGCCTCTAGGTTTTGTGAGTACAAACTTGGCATTTTTCTGAGCCTTAACCTCTTCAGATTCTAATTCAGTTGTTCTGGGAAGGGGTCAAGGAATATGCATTTTAGCCAGTACCCCTAATGTATTTGGTACAGGTGGTCCTCAGCCTACTTTAAGAAACAGTGGGCCATGGCTGCATGGGATCTAGCCTCCCCTGGGCTTAATCTTTTTCTATGTCCTTGTCTACCCTCTTCTATTCTAAAACTTCAACTCAACTCCATAACATGGTCACCCCTTAAGATAACTTTGTTTGTTATTTCATTAAAGAATTTAAGAAATTCAGGAGCAAACCCTCTCAAATTCCTGCCCCCACATGACCCTCCAACGTTATTTGCCTGTACGCCTCACCCTCCCTTGTCTTCTGAAGACTAATTCCCTCCCCTGGAGTCCTGATCTATCCTCAACCTCTATCCCTCGAAACAGGATCATGTTCTCTGTGTTATTCCCCCACTCCTGCATTTTTACCCTCTGTCTTCAGGGGCTACCTCCCCACAGCTTGTAACTCTGCTCACGCTCCTGTCTTTAGGAAACTTTCCTTTAAACCTGTGTTTCTGACTAGTTACTGCTGTAGCTTCTTCACTCCCTACATTTCCTGATTCCACTTCCCTCTCCTTTCAGTCTTTGGCCCTGACTACAACCAGCAAAAATGCTGTGGCAGAGGTTACCAAGAGCTCCCAACTGCCAATCTTATGAATGAACTCTTCAGTCCTCATCTGGAAGGTTTTTATAGCAACATTAGACAGCCACCAACTCTTTCGTATTGAGACGTTCTTTTCTCTTGGTTTCAGAAACACTGATCTTTTCTGAGACTCCTCCTGTTTCAAAGACTATTCTTCCTTAGTATTCCTTGTGGGTTCATCTTCCTGTAACCATCCCTTAAATGTGTTCCCTGACGTTCTGTCCTTAGCTGTCTTCTCTCATTCCTTATATCCTACACATTCATCCTAGGTAATCTTAACAATTCAATGGTCTGTGACCACACTCTATACTCTAATGGATCCTAAGTCTATTTTTGATAAAGTAAAACTGACTCCTTCTTCTAGTACACTTCTGTAAACCGCAGGACATTCTATAGCATTTATCTTTCTGCATAAATGCTCTATTAGACTATTAGGACAGGTCCAGAGCTTGTCTCTCTCTCTTTCTAGAATTCAGAACAATACCTGGTAGATAACAGGAACTCCACAAATGTTTAATAAATACAGTTGACACATATACTAAGCATTTATATTTCAAGTTACCTGATTTTCTTTTACAGAAAGTCTGAGAGGTAGTATCAGATGAAGAATTTCATTTTTTTTCAGGTTTTCATAGCCAGCTACAAAGACTCCTGGGATAAAGAAGCAGAAGTAGCTGTGACAAATTGTTAGAAAGATTGTAGATCACGGCTGGGTCTATAAATTGCCAAATTCCCCAAACCAAATATAAATTCCTTTCCCATCGGCGTGCAGCCTTGTATCAGGGGGTGGAAGATCTTAAAAAGAGGAATGTAAGTACAGGTGGAGCACTAGTTGCTACTAGTGACTAAGAGGTCCTCAGGTGCCCCGGAAGAATGGGTTGGGTCCCACGGGCTGAACCCCTAAAACCCAGCCTGAGGAGTGGTATTCTAGCTCCTTCAGAGCCAGGCAGGGCATACCTTTGTTACCAATCCATTCAAGAACTCGAGTGGCTCCTGAGAGATCGAATGCATGGAAATCCTGGTACCTACACGATAGGGAGGGACACAAAATCACACGGTGCATGGCACTTTACAGCTGTCAAGGAACTCTGAGATGGCAGCCTGGTTCCGTGGCTAGGGGCCCAGGCTCTGGAATTAGGCAGACGTGAGACTTAGTCTTGCCTCGCATTTTACCCACTGTGTGTCCGGGACCAGGCCAGGGATCAGACCAATTACTTTATCTCCCTGAGCCTCTGTCCTCATCTGTGGAACTCCCAGGGCACCCAGACGTCCCAAGATTGATATAAGGAATCAATGAGATAATCTGTGTTCAGATCTTAACTCAGAAGCTGGCGCAAAATAACCGGTCACTTATGTTATTATTACCCATCACAAGCGCTACTCTTAACTAGCACCTCGCACAACTTGAGCACGCAGGCAGGTGCCATTTCCCAGATGCGGGGGCCGAGGCCCAGGAGCTCTCCGCATCCGCCCTGCCTCGTGGCCACCGCCGGCCTACACTGGGATACCCTACGTGCTTCTGCCCGCACCCATCCGCCCGCCAGGCCACCTCCATGCCGGGATCCCGTCTCCCAGCTCCACGCGACTTACAAGCGCAAGGATTCCACTAACCAGTCCTCCGCGGGATCCATGGCAACCGTCACTTCCGGCACCACACTTCCGCCCGGGAGCCTTCCTGGGCGGGCGCGGCCCTCTCGCGAGGAGTGGGCGTGGCCTCCTGCTAGGGGGCGGGGCCGAGTCTCCCCGAGCGCCGCCAGCTCCGCGCTGCGACCTCGCTGGGCTAGGTCCCGTGTTCTCTGGGCAAGAGCTCCGGGAAAAGTGACGTAAAATCAGGGGTTCCCCGAAGTCAGCTCCGACCGGAGCCTGAGGGACTAAATACCCGCCCGTTTTAGGATCAGGTATTTGCAGCCCACAGAGGTGCAGTCAGTGCCCCAAAGCCAGATATAATACAGGACCACTGAGTTAAATTCGAATTTCAGGTAAACGATGAATAATTTTTTCGTATGAGTTTTGCGTGCAATATTTAGGACATTTTATACGAAAAAAATGTTTATCTGAAATTCGAGTTTAACGGAGTGTCCTGTGTTTTTATTTGCTGACTCTGGCAACCCTAGTGAAGACCATAGAGCGAGCAAGCGGACAGTGGGGTCTGGATGCCGACTCGGCGCTCTTCCTGCATGCGCGCTCGGCACTCCCCTCAAAGCTTGGCGTGAGGATGAAACGAGATGCGGTAAGTAAAGCCCCGTAGAGGTGAGAGTAGAACCCAGCGCCTGGCACAGGACCCGGCACACAGCAGATGTTTGCTGAATAACGAATGAGTAGGAGTCCTGAGTCAGTGCCAGTCTGGTGCCATGGCATGGAGTGTTCTGGGCTTTTTGAAGCCAGCCCATCTCACTGAACAGCCCGCCCTCCAGCCCCCTTTGCCTCTCATTCCCTCAACCGTAGCTAGAAGAAGACCAGACATTCTATGTAAAGGGCAGGGTTTTTTATTCGCAACTTCAACAGGGAAGCAAGAAATACAGCAGGAACTAATTTGTGTCTGCATCAGTGATATTCCTGGCGACACAACCAGAAATCACAGTAATGGAGTAACAGAGATTTGAGCTTTGGATTTACATCCAGATGGGGCCACTAGCAGGGTCCCATTCAGCACCTTCCCTGGGTGGGCACAATCTAAGCCGCGTTGTCCTCTCTGTCCCATTATTGACATCGCTTCTGCAGTATTTGCACCAGCAGCCTCCTGTGCTCAAGGGAAACATACAGAAGGATTGACCTGGGGAGGGGAAACAAATGATAGGGGCATCCTGCCATTTCTAAGAGCTAGGCATCCACAGAGTGGGCAGGGGCAGGCTGTCAGCTGAGGCATGAGCCCTAGTACCCTGAAGGGCCTGGGAGGAGGCAGGGGCAGTGGTTTTCTCAGAATACAGCCCAAACCTCACAGGGAAGTTGTGACAGTTAAAGGAGATCATGGAAGTAAATCCAAGTATAGTCCCTGGCTCTGGGCCATGTCTGTGTCCTCACTCCCCCACCCCCAGCTCTGCACCAGAACTAAGCCACACCACCCAGGGCTAGGAACTGCTTACTTCTGAGATTCTCTAGTTGATCTGCGTGTTTCAGGCCTTCAAAGCCAATAGCCCATTGTCTCCCTTCAGACTTAGCCAGCCCCAGCTCCTAGCCCTTACATCTGAGGTCCCCAAGGGCTGGTGGTTCTGTGCATCAGGAAGTCAGGGATGTTGGCTGAGGATGGGGTTGAACCTTCTCTAGGGAATGCTCTTCCCTTTTTTCGAAATGTACACATTTGATACAAAAGTGAGTCAGCAACAGGTGCTTCCAGGAAGCATACAGTCTAGTAAGAGCTCCCATTTACTAAGGGCTTGATATGCACCAGGCACCATGCTCAGCATGTGACATAAATGGTCTCATTTAATGGGAGGTGAGCCTATTTTTATCTCCATTTTATGGATGAGAAAGATGAGGCTTAGAGAGGGTAAGTGATGCTTCTGAGTTCATACAGCTACTATGTAGCTAGCTTATGAGCCCAGCATGCTGTTGCCAGAGCCTACATTCTACCACATCACACTCAACAAATAGCAGTGAGGGTGATGCACGGTGGGGACAGCACCAGGAGCAAGGAATGAAGGAGCCACCACTCAACCAGGCTAGATACTAAGGCTGGCTTGGCTCCAGCTTTGGGGCCTTAAACCCCATAGGTCAGTGGTTTACAACCAAGGATGATTTTGGGCCCTCCCCCCAAGAGGACATCTGATGATGTCTGGAGGCATTTTTGGTTGTCACAACTTGGGGGGAAGGGAAGGAACTACTGGCATCTAGAGGCAGAGATGAGGGATGCTGCTAAACATCCTACCATGCACAGGACAGCCCCCACAACAGAATGTCAAGAGTGCTGAAGTCAATAAACCCACCCAGCCATTGGTGGCTGAGGCAGATGAGGGAATGGAAAAAGCATGGGTCAAGGTGAACAAGGTCAGGGCTCTGTCTTGGCTGCTGACTTCTCTCCTCTCTGGGCCTCAAGGTCCCAGCTCTGACTACAAGAACACACAGGGCACAGCAAAGGTGGACTTGATAAATGCAGCAGGGGACAGCTTGGGTGGAACAAGGCTGTGTGGACTGGGGGAGAAAGGTCCTGCTGCAAGAGGCTGGGTAATTCTACTCTGTGACTTTAGACTGGGTGATGAGTGAGGGGGAACTTCTTGCCCTACTTTCCATGGGGTTTGCTGGGAAGGTCAGCCTCCTTTCTTTGGATTGTTCCCCCTTTGAGCCCTGGGTCATAGTGAGAGCCTGGAACCCTGGTTTTCTGGGGTCCACAGCCATCACACCCTAGCTGGTCAGTCATGCCCTAAGTGGTAATTCCTCCCATGCCGGATCCAGGGGTGGCCCTGGCTGAGCCCTCCTGGTACTGGGTTAGGGGTCTGGCTCACCTGAGTATGGGGTGCTGCGCCACTGAGGCTCACGTCCAGGGCTTTCTTTAGCAGGAGAATCCTGAGCAGATCATGACTCAGCTGCAGTCTCTGGTCCCTCAGGGAAGTGTGAGGAGCTGTCCCCAACGCGGATGGGCTGAGATGCTCGAGACTTTTCTTGCCCATGAAGTGACCTAGAAAGGAGTTGCCGAGGCACAAGGAAGTCAGGGATCGAGCATCACCCTAGTGGAAAAGTTCCTCATCTCTCCCATGTTTCAGTTCTAGTGGCAGGAAGATATGTAACCTTCCTCCTCCTCCTCACCAAGGAGCCACAAAAACACCTTGGCGGTGGCAAAGCCTGTTACCTCTGCTTTTCCTCAACAGGTGGAGTGGGTGGAGAGGATGGCACAGCTGGAAGGAGGGTGGAATGGCCAAGGGCCAGGGAGAAATTCTGCCATTTGTGCTTCCTGCTTGGAGGAGGGACGGGACAGTGCAGGGGAAAAGGTGGAGAACGATGTGCCTGGAAGATGGAGGTGCAGAGAGAAGACACGCCTGAGGTTAGAAGAGTCAGCAAAGTCTAAGGAAAGGGGCTTCCAGCTCAAAGTAAGATCTAGGATCTAGCCGCAGCTCTGCCTTAAACTGGCTGAGCGATCTTAGCCAATTCACTGACCTGTCAGGGTCTCAAGTTCCCCATCTTTTAAATTAAAGAAGCCCTAGGGCCTCCACCTGCTCGGACACTGGTGTACGGGCCGAGGAGCGGCCATAAGGTTGAGATGGAAAATGAAGTCTGAGCAGGAGAGGGGCGCTGGCCCGGGTCCCGGAAGACTTACCAGTGGCCCAGAGGTTGCCCCGCGGGTGCACCCGAATCTTGCTGGCTCGGCTGCGGGGCTCCGGGAGATCCCAGCTGAGCGGGGCGGCGCCGGCAGCGAGCAGGGCTAAGAGCAGGAGGCCGCCGAGCAGCCGAGCGCCCCCGGCCCGCCGGGTCATGGCTGTGCCCGGGCCGCGGTCCCTCTCCGGCGTGATGCCAGCTGCTGGAGTCTGGCGGCTCCCGCCTTCGCTCCTTTTAAACCCGCGCCCCGGGGGCGGAGCCGTCTCCGAGAGCCCGGCCCCGCCCCGGCGGCCGCGCCGCCACCGCCCTGCGGCTCGCACCGACCCGCACACCCGCACTCGCGCCCCACGGGGGCACCGCTTCTTCCAGGGAGTGCGGGCCGAGGCCCACCGTCTTCAGGCTGAGGAGCTGGCCCGGGGCAAGCAGGGGCCCGGCGGCAAAGCCGTTCTCCTGGCATTCCCTCGCCACTCCCGCCGGGCTTCGGGCAACAAGTCGTTCTGCACCCCTCTGAGCCTCTCTTTATGGAGGGTAGAAGTAGGGGCGTGGAGCCCTCCTCCCGAGAAACACGGGCATTTTTACAGTGCCCAGCAAGTGCCGGGCATCAGAGGAGCCCTATACGTTGATCTCCATCAACCCCTTCCTCTCGGGGAATCTGACCCGTGTTGATCGCGCTGTCTACCCTCTCAGGGACAGCACACACCAGGTAATCTGGAAATGCTCTGGCCCACAGCAGGTGCTGGGGGTGGGAATGCAGAAGGATGGAAGGTGGGACAAGGAGCCACTTCCGCGGAGTGGGCGCCCCGCTGGACAGCCTGGCCTGTCAGTTGGGCAGGAGGCAGATCCGTGGGTTAGGAGAGCAGAAGAGCACAGGACCAGAAGCCCATATACAAGCGGTGTGACCTCGTTGAACCTCTTTCTTCAACTGTAAAATGGAAGGAACCACACTACCCTATTTTTAATAATTTAAAATTTTATAGCACAATTATTTTGCGGCAGGAAGCAGCAGTCCTATAGCACCTGTCCTCCCACACCCAGCCCTCTGACCTCCTCCCAAGGAGTTGTCAGGACTTGTCTTGGAAAGAACTTTTGAATCAGTAGCATCACTTAATGAGCAGGGGAAGATGCTGTGCTTCAGAATAATACATTTATTTTTGCTTAAACGTTTACTAAACACCAATGTTTAGAGTACTATGCTAGGCACAGGAGGGGAGACGAAGATAATTGCCTGCTCCCAAGGAAATTAACCATCTCATTGGAAAGACAGTACACAAAGCAGTGAATGATGGAGGAGCAGGGCGCCTGGACCCCTCCCTGGAACACTGAAGAGTGTGGCTGCGACAGAACCTATTCCCATCTGGTTCAATAATGGTACTTGCTATTATTA